CAAGTACCAGTCGTAGTCCTAATGGTCAAAGGAATCTGAAAAGACAAAAACTAGAAAGAAAGTTATTAAGCCTAGTGTGTCGTCTACAGTAAAATAGATATCGACAACATATCATAAATAAACCAAACATGACATAATTATGTAATTTAAAATTAGACAGGAGTAAACTCATTTACTATTATTGGGAGGTTATAACAGAAAGTTCATACAACTTTACCTTTCACCGCGGATAATAGGATGAGGATTTTTCCTCCGAAGAGGATCTCAGTCAGAAACATAAATCGAAATGGGGATATAGCCCTCCAAAGAGGATCTCTCGCAGAACCAGGACAATGATTTAATCTATGTAGAATTAGGATGGAGATTTAATCTCATAAAGAATCAGGACATGGAGTTAATCTCATGCAGAATCAGGATGGGGATATAATCTCGGGCAAAATCAGGACGATGATATAATCTCATACAGAATCAAGATAATGATCTAATTTTATGCATAATTAAAAATGCATCAATATACATATTAAATGTGATACAATATTATTCAAAAGTTAGACATATATATATATATATAATATATGCTTACAAATAGTAATACACAACATAATAGCGTAATATATTAAATGTATTTAAAAGGTCAAGGGGACACACCTATAGTAGCTAATCGATAATGACTAAATCTTACATTTCACACGATCGGTAGTAATAGGTCATGCAAATTGAAGACCTGGTAATAACATAATTCTAAATGAATACCAAATAATACAACTAAACATAAATAGGCTTTAATTCACTAATTAATACTTATGTGTATCTCGAGATGAACGTGTAAAATCAAAATGAGCACAACTCGAGTTATCAGGATCTACTAAAGAGCAATGCAGAGACACGAAAGCATCTTTAAAAAATAATACCAAAAAGTAAGTCCAAAATTTCACAATTTACTTAACATAATTAAGATTTTAAGCGATAAATAACGCAAAAATAGGTTTGGGTAGAATTTGGCAAAAAGAAATGAGGAAACAAACTTAATATATCAAAAAAATATAGAGATAGAGGTTTTAAAAAAATCAACGGGTCAAAGTTAACGGTCAATAGTCAACGACCAACAGGTCGGGTCGGGTCAATATGTTAACAAGTTCAGGGTTGGTTCAAACAAGTTCAGGGTTGGTTCAAACCAGTTCAGCCATACTGATTTAGGCTTGAACAACTAGAATCACTCACATACACGTATAACAACATATTGGGGCGTGAAGGGTCATCAAGTGGTTGAATTTTGGTGAAACTTACTAGAATTGAATTTTAGGATATGGGGATTCACTTACAGGGGTTGGTTTGTGGTGGATCAAGGAGAAAATATGATTTTTAGAAAACCCAAATGGTTTTTCTCTTCTCTATTTGCAAACGATGACGGTGACGACAACAATAAAGGTATCAGGTGAAAGGGTTCGACACGATGAACAATAAGGTATCGATGGTGATGACCATGACGCTAGGAACAATGAAAAAATGACAAAAACAATTATATGGACGGTGAAGGAAGTTTAGCGCTATCATGAGAGAGAAAAAGATAGAGAAAAGAAAAGAAAAGAAATAACGAAAGAAGATAGTCTATAAAAAATTTCTTAACTTTAGGGTAAACTCCGACATTACTCCTCACTCTTGAGATCTCACAACTCCCAAATTTAGGGGTGTGACAACTCTCCATTTAAGAAAATTTCAGCTTCAAAATTTTACTTGACGGAAATATATGGGGAAACTACTCCTTTATCGACTTCTGAGTCTCTCAGGTGGCCTTTGAAAGACTATGATTACTCTACATAACCTCAACCATCGACATATGTTGACTTCTCAAAAGTCGATCCTCATAGGTAATCATCTGAATAGGCTTATCCTTATAACTCAGATTAGGTCTGAGCTCAACATCCTCGATAGAAATGACAGGGGATGGATCAGAATGGTAACTCCTTAACATGGAATACATGACGAATGAGCTCAAGCATAGGTGGTAACTCAAGTTGATAAGCAACTAGACAAACTTGAAGTAGAATATGAATAATCCACTTAGACTGCCCAATAGATTGCGAGTGATAAGATGTATTGAAATTTAATCGGGTACTTAGAGCCTCATGAAGTGTCTTCTAGAAATGCGACATAAACCTCAGATATCGATCAGAAATAATATATAAGGGAACCTCATGAAGATAAACAATCTCAAAAATATACAATCGAGCCAATTTTTTCAGAGTATAATTAGTCCGAACCGAAATGATGTGAGCAGACTTAAAGAGACAATCAACGATAACCCATACTAAATCCTTTTTAGATTGTGTCAATAGTAATCCACTGATAAAATCTATAGTTAATCGCTCCCATTTCCACTTGGGAATCTGAATGGGCTGGAATAAACCAAATGAAAACTTATACTCAGCCAAATACTTAGTGACATTCTTTTCAAATTATACCACCTTTTTCTGATATTCTAATACATTATAATATTATCGGGATTCATAAAATATGGACTATTGTGATCCTATCGTAAAATAGCATTCTATAACTCAAGATCATTCAGAACACAGTAACGTCCTCGGGAGCACAATAGACCATCCTCATTGAAGGTGTACTCAAAGTCAGAACTCTACTCAACTTGTTTTGCAAGCAAAAACTAGGATACATCGAGATGTTGCTTTGACTTAATATTAACCGCCAAGGTAGGCTTAACTACGAGTTCATACTGACAAACATCGCCTTTAAATCAATGGTCGCTCTACGACTCAAAGCATCGACAACTACATTAGCCTTTCTATGGTGATACTAAATCTCAAAATCATAATCTTTTAGGAACTCCAACCAGCAGCGCTGTCTCAAATTAAGATCCTTCCGAGTCAACATATATTTTATACTTTTGTGAGCAGTATAGATATAGCAGTTATCACCATACAGGTAGAGCATCTAGATTTTTAATGCAAAGACTACTACATTTAACTCTATATCATGCATAAGGTAGTTACACTCATGCGACATCAACTCATGATACAGATAAGCTACTACACTCTCATCTTACATTAGAACATAACCTAAACTAGGGTGTAAATTTTTACTGTAAACTATATAATCCTTCTCAGACTTTGGTTGGATCAAAACAAATTGATTTCAATTATCCAAAACCCGACTATTGAGCTTCACCCCAAACAAAAGGTATATTCTTTCTTAAACATTTTGCCAAATGGAAAACAATTATAGAGAATCCATCTACAACCTCTGATAATAACCCGTTAAACCCAAAAAATTACGAACCTCTGTCACATTCTTAGTTTGCTTCCATTTTAGAATAGCCTATATCTTTTTTGGATCAACAGAGATACATACCCTTAGCTGAAATAATGTGGACCAAAAACATTACTTCGCTAAGCTAGAATTCACACTTAATAAACTTCACACAGGGTTGTTTTTTCCTTCAAACTCTATAAAAGAACTCTTAACTGCTCGTCGTGCTCAACCTCAAACCTCGAGTAAATCAAGATATTATCGATAAAAATAATGAAAAATTAATCCATATACGGTTAAAATATTTGGTTCATCATATCTATAAAAGTAGCAGGGCATTAGTCAACCCAAATGACATCACTAAAAAACTTATAATGACCATATCGAGTCTGAAAAGTCATTTTAGGAACATCATAATCTTTCACCTTAAGCTGATCAGATCGACGATCAATCTTAAAGAAAATAGTTGCACTACGTAACTGATCAAATAAATTATCAATGTGCGGTAACGGGTATTTTTTTAATCATCAACTTATTCGGCTTTCAATAATCAATGCACAAGTGCAATGATCCATTGTTTTTCCTCCCCACGGAGAGGTACTAGGCTGAATAAAACCTCGATTCAACATCACTTTTAACTGGACCTTGAACTCTCATAATTCCTTAGGTGTCATGCGATAAGACAATTGTCATCATTGAGTGATCTTTAGTGATCTTTATGATAAAAAATAATATTATTATTATTATTAAAGGATCAAAGTTCGAACAATAATATTTGTAGAATGTATGTACATTATCAACAAGTTAAGAATTTTTTTGAACAAATATTGAATTTTATCATCCCAGACTATTTAAATATATATATATATATATATATATTAATTTTTTAATAATTAAATAAACATTTAAATATGTCTTTAAGAAATCAATCAATTCCTCAATCTTTCTAAAATAAAATCATTCAAATTCTCAAACTTTTTAAATAAGGTCATTCAAGTTCTTTATTGCATTATTACCCATACGTTACTATCATATTAATTAAGATTATCGATCGTATTAATTACGATTATCTGTCACAACAATAGATTAACAACGATATTTATATAAAAATAGTCAAAAATAAAAATACTAATAATTAAAAAAACCAATTGATAAAATTTATCAATTCAAAATATTAATTATATATATATAAATTAATTCAATGTAATTTAATATATTTTATAAAAATTCTTATACCCTTGAACCTAAATAAAAATAGAGTTTATTTAGTATTTAAAATATTTTTTTTATTTTATTTTTGTACTTAAATTTTATTTTTTAAATTTATATCTAACGGATAGTTTAGATTTTAATTTTATACTTATCATTAAAAAATTAACATGGTAATTTTTTTTTATCTTTTTTAACAATAACACGTCAATAGTAAATTCTTAGTGACAGGTATTAAAATGAAATATTAAGTATAATACAAAACAAAAACTTAGATACAAAACAAAAACAATAGTTTAGGCACTAAACATGCAGTTTATCCATTACAATATAGAGAAGAGAAAGAAGCTTGTGTGAATAACCTGCCAAATTACCAGATCACACAGGTCGGGCTAAATTTTATTTTATCTCCTTTTTTTCCCAAACCCTACCTGCGCCGCTCGAGCTGTACTTCTCGTCCAACCCGATTCAACTCTTCACCTGAGGTGAGAAATTTCCCGAACCCTTTCTCATGTGATTGGTTCAGGTGTTGTAAGTAAAGCATTCTCCTTCCCATTCCTATTGCTTCCCATCTTGATTTATCGTATAGCAACAGTAAATACTCCATCTCTTGTTCCAGTTTCGTTTGAGAAAGAATTCAGTAAACCCATTCCCCTAATACACTTTCTCTGTTTGGAAGCATAGGGAGCTTCTCTTGTACGCCTAAATGCACCTATTCTAATTACATTGTTCAATTTTATTTATTTTTATTTTGTTTTATAAAAATATGAACTTTATAAACCTTCGATTGTTAGAAAGATATTTAATTTGAAATTTAATACCCAATGAGTGATTTGGCTTGAAAACATGGAATTCTGTCAATTACATTCCATAGACTGTAAGCAGAGTATCAGTTGATGTATTATTTCTTAGGTGATTTTGACTTAGTTGACCTATTAATTAGGTTGCAAATGTATTACGATAGACATAAATATGATTGCTTTATTAAAATAATGTATTTTTTTTTTTATAAATTTATAAGATAATTATTTTTTAAACCCTTTTAGGACCCAACAAATATAAGCATTTATGTTGATTGATTAGTAGAAATACAAGGTTAACTGAAGAATGAAATCCAATGTGCATAAGGTTATTTTAATTGTTATTCCTTTTTGTATGCTTGATGGAGAAAATTCGAGTGGATTTGTATTCTTGAAGTATTGAATAGCATGTTATATTTTTGTGTGTGCTAAAAACTATATACTTATGATTTTAAATTTATGTTAGTAATTTGAAAGAATTTTATGGACTAATGTTGTTGTATTTGATACTTTGATGAGAACTTTGTTTATATTTTAAGTATTTAAATTCGGTTATTGAATTCTTTTTATTTAGTTTATTTTTATTATCGTGTCATGTTAAAAAAACCAATAATTTATTAACTTTAACTAATGGCTGCCCCTTTAACTAATATAAAAATTTTATATGCAATAGTTACACAATTCAAGCTCAAGCTTGAGCTTTAATTAAACAAGCTTAATCAAGCTGAGTTTGAGTACTAGAATAGGTAAACAAACTTATCGAGCTCAAGCTTGAGCTTTAAAATGATGTTCAGTTGAGCTCATGCTGAGTATCAAACGCCGAGTCCTGAATCAAGCTCGAGCTTAGCTTGATTACACCACTATTCCTTTTGGCTTGTCCTTTCATCAAAAATATCAATTTGATTAGCTTTTAATTCCTCTGTTTTTGTCTGGAATTACAGAAATGGTGGGACTTTCTGCTGGAGAAAAGCATTTCATACAAGGTGGAATTGCCCAAGACCTTCGTTTAGATGGTAGAAAAAGGTTAACCTATCGACCCATATATGTTGAAACTGGAATCATTCCTCAGGTCTGGAACCTTCTCACAATTTTCCAAAACGACAACAATATGCATGTTTACCTTTCTTTTTTTAATTTGAATTTTCATTGAAGGGTATTGTGACAGGCACATGGTTCGGCGAGAGTTAGGCTAGGTGCAACTGATGTTGTTGCCAGTGTCAAGGTATACTTCATTAGATGCCAAAATTTATATATTATTTTTGTTTTCTTCTTGTCTTAAGGGAATATGTTTTTACTATTTTATGCTGTTGCAGGCTGAACTCGGAAAACCCAGTGCATTGCAACCTGACAAAGGAAAGATTGCTATGTTTGTTGATTGTAGTCCAACTGCAGCACCAATGTTTGAGGTGGTTTTTGCTTTACCAGTGAAATCTTTTCTTTTTGTTGATTGAATTAGTTGAATTCACATGAATATTTTTGTGCTTCATTTGATTTCCTTGCTAGTGTTTTTTGTAAAGAAAAATAAATAGAGAATTTTCTTGTTAATGTTGATGAAGGTAATATTGCAATATTGCAATACTGCAAATTTGTTTACATAGAAGGTATAATGAGTGTTTTTATGATACGTATACTTAAACATCCATGTATGCAATTATTAATTATCTTCCTCGGATAACATGATCTTTATGAAGAATTTGTAAATGGCTAGTTGCCATCCTTTTGTAGGGGTTGATTGTTTAATGCGATTCTCTCCTTTTTGCTTAAAAGAAAATGGGCATCTGTAATGGGAAGGACTACCAGTGTTCTAGTCTTTATGTTCTTCTTTTCTCATTTTCATACATTCTACTATGTAAGATGACTTAGCTATGCTTGTCCATCTTTAATCCTCTTTAATGTCATTCATAATCCATTACTCACTTTGTTTTATGCATTAAAATTCTTGTATTTTATTTTTCACAGGGTAGAGGGGGTGAGGAGTTGTCAACAGAGCTCTCAGTTGCTCTGGAACGGTGCCTCTTGGGTGGTAAAAGTGGAGCAGGTAGACATTCTTACAAATGGTTATTCTCTGTACTATGTTGTTATTTTATATTTCGTTACTTTTCTTTAGTTTTGAGTATGTAATTATCTTAGTCCATATATTCCAGGAGCTGGAATTGATCCTACATCTCTGGTAGTTGTGGAAGGAAAAGTGTGTTGGGATCTCTATGTTGATGGTCTTGTTATTAGTTCAGATGGGAATTTGCTAGATGCCCTTGCTGCTGCCATTAAGGTAATACCTACTCAAAATTGTATTATTCTCTCTTGATTCGGGTTTAAATTTCAAATTAATGGAAAGTATTGGAAAGCAATTTTAAATGTAATTATTAGGTGGAAATGAGCTCAGAATCATTCATGCTCGAGCCTGTCTTCTATAGTTGTTTTGTCAAATACCGTGAAAATTTGCCTGATAATCAACTCGTAATGATTATCTTCTCGAGTAACCCGATTTTTATTTCAATATTTTGATCACCTGTATCCTATCTGGGATGCTGAGGTGTACGCAAGTTGTGTAGTGTTTACGTAAGTTCTTCACATTAAGTTTTGGGTTGAAGTAAATAGCTTTTGTCCCAAAACTAATCAAAGTTCTTTTCTATCCGTCTCCTTTTCTATTTCACCTTTGTAAAATGACTTTTCGTTAGTTTACTTTGATACATTTGGTGATTGTACTGGTTCTCAAACTTTTAAAAAATATTAACCACTTGACTTTGGTTTTTGCAAAGGCTGCTTTAAGCAATACTGGCATTCCTAAGGTCGATGTTGCAGCCGAGATGGCAGGTGATGAACAACCTGAAGTCAACATTAGTGAGGAAGAGTTTCTACAGTTTGACACATCCGGGATTCCTGTCATAGTTACACTAACGAAGGTAAAGCAGTTTATTGGTTGGTATCATTTTTGTCAATTGTCTAAAATATTTCCTGTCTGATCTTCATTTTCTTGCATTTCACTCATTGATTAGGTGGGGAAGCACTATATTGTCGATGCTACAGCAGAAGAGGAATCACAAATGAGCTCAGCTGTCTCCATTTCTGTTAACAGGAAAGGGCATGTTTGTGGTCTTACGAAACGGGGCGGTGCAGGCCTAGATCCGAGTATCATCCTTGACATGATATCTGTAGCAAAACATGCAAGTGAGCAGCTAATAAACAAATTAGATTCTGAGATTGCTGCCGCTGAGGCTGCTGAAGAGGAATGATGACTTTGTTTTCAAAACCTTTGTTAAGAATGAAATTTATGGGTTGTTAGACTTTTTTTCCTTTGTAGATGGGGAGATGTATACTTTTGAAACCTGTAGTGTAATATTACTAATTGTTTATGGATTAAAAACACACCCAAGTAAATTAAAATTACTAACGAATACGAGTTTAATTCTATTCGCAGCCAACAATGAGAAATTCTGAAACTGTTTTGAGATTTGATATCTATTATTCAAGTTTACATGACTAAGTGGATAGCAATTCTGATATCTGAATCAATTATTCCCTTATAATGGAAAATTTATAAATAAGTTCGATTTACTGGGTTTTGACAGCCGAGTGCTGAGTGGTAGCCTAGCCTTGTAATCGTGGTTTATGGTAAAGATGTCTTCTACAACCTAGACACATCCTACAGATTAAAAAACTGATGATCGTTTTCCATGTGTTTAGTTTACGTACATACCTGTTCTCTTATACTGCATGCATCATGCACGTGCAAAAATATAATCCTAAGATATAGCTGTTGAAATCGACATGACCTTTTCCTATCGGAGGTGATTTGAAATTTCATAGTGTTTTAATAAGATATACAACATCATCGTTTTTAAATTCTTGAACATCTCTTTTACTTGTTAATTTTACGGATTAGTATATTTACCTCTCTGATTATAAAACAAGATGATCACTACTAATTGCTTCAGGGCTGTAAATGAGACGAGACAGATCGTGAGCTACTCGAGATCGACTCGATCAAGGCTCGATAAATACTCGGATCGAATGGACTCGACTCGAGCTCGAGTTCGACTCGAATTCTTAACGAGCTAAAACGAGCTACTCGATACTCGACTCGAAAAACTCGTCGAAAAAAATGTTATATTATAATTTTAGATTTTTTAAAATTACATTATTAAAAATATATTAAAAATACACTATTGGACAGTATTAATTTACATGATGTCAACTTAAGATGTATGATGTTCACTTTTTGGGTCGGGAATTAGAAGTTTGCTTTAACTTCTCTCTTCTTGAGTGGTACTTATAATTCCTTGGCTCCGAATTGAACGGATCCGCTCCAGATATAGAATCTTGTGATTTTTGAATCGTCAACACAAAGCTAAAAATGTATAAGTCTTTTATACATGGAAATAGGGCAATTCATGAAGAACACATATCATGCAGTAATGATATTGTTGGTATTTGATGTGTAATCTGACTTCATGTTAAATGAGCTACTCTTTAAGCTTCCTAAGTAGCTTTTGTTTGACGTGACATGTCTAAATCCTTCCCTTGCATGTTTGGGTGTTATTATGGTCATTTGACTTCGATTTCTTTCCGGTACCATCCGAACTAACTTCCTTCTTTGAACAAAATAGTCAAAAAGTTGGGTTTACATTTCTAATGCAATTTTGGTCAAAAAGAAAACAAGAATTCTCAGGTTGCTCAACTCAGAAGCAAAAGCATTGCACCAGAAAAATACAAACAAAAGCATTTTGTCTTCCTTTCACTCTTTTAATGAGCATGTTAAGCAACACAAGGGTAACATCTTTACTAAGTTCCATTTACATTACCATACAAATTAGTACAGAAATATACCCAAGAAGAGCCTAAAAAACCACTCTTCTCACCATTTCTCTTCACACCATTCTTTTCATTTATGCATCAGTATTTGTCAAGAAAAAAAAAACATGATTCTCGTACAGACCCGCACATTAGCACAACATTCAAAGTTTAAGTCTTAGTATATATTGTTTTCTTGAAGGAGAAAAAGGGGATAAAAAAGAACCCCTCAAGATAGCCTTCTGTTCTTCTTGATGGATCTCCATTTATTCAGGTATATATGTTGTTTTATTTCCTTCAGGCAGCTGCAACAGTGCCTGTTCGGAAGGGGTAATCTTCAGACTTCCTTTGATCTTTCTTTCTCAAAGCTCTCATTGATGAACAGAGGTTCCTATTCTTTTCCATGGCTTCATCCATGTCGATTTGTTCTTGCCTGCACTCTTCACTACAGAAAGGCGTGTCCCCTCTGCAACACAATCCAGTATCCCACATCGGTAGGTTTAAGGCAGTTTTGCGCTGGGGATATTATAAAAGGAGAGGATACGCGGGTTTCAGGCATCAATGTATTGGGGGTAATGACGCAGCTAAATTCGAACCGAGGCGTGTCTATTGCTGGTTGAAAATTATTTCCAAACGCCTTCTTAGGCCTTGAGTTTGAATTTGAGTTGAATCTCGAGTTTTAATAGAGTTCTTGAATATTTTTTGAATATGAGTTTTTTTGAGTTTTAGTCAAGTTTTAATATTTTTTTTTTTGAGTTTGAGTTGAGCTGACTCGTATATTTTTTAGTTGAGTTTATATTTTAAGTTTTTAAGTTTGAGTAGAGTTTAGTAATATTCAAGCTTGACTTGGTATCAAACACCGTGAGCAGCAACCCCTGGTTTCTTGGCACGCCTTTGTATTATCTCCCAGTACCATGAATTTGTTCAATCCAGTTTTGTTGATAGATTTAATGTATTTGGTCGTTAAGTACATCCTCTGCTGTTGTAAAGCCTTTGATGCACTATAAATTGTCATGTTTCATTGAATTTGAGATGGCTATTAAGGGTCGACTTCCCTACAAATTTAAGTCATCACGTAATTAAGTTATCGGTAGTGTAATTTTGTTTTCTTCTCCTTAATTTTGAAATTTTAAGACATTCATAGTTTAGGATATACGACTTAATTTAGACTTTTTAGATTTTTAATTTTCCCTTAATAGCTTCAATGGTCATTCAGCTTCCCACTAAACGGGGGCTCAATTAGCAATGGACGCCTACAATACATCTTTAGCCAATTATATAACTGATTATTAATTGATTTACTAAAATTAAACATTAAATTTTCTAAAGAACCTCTACAATTTAAATTTTATCAAAAACAAAATAAAAAATAATTCAATAATAAATATTTATATTATTAAATTAAAATAAAATGATTAATATCGTATTATATTATATGCTCCAAAGAAAATGTTGGAGTAGGGAAATTGAAAGGGCATCATAATTGGTAATAATTACACATGTAAGCTAAAGATTGCAGGAAGCTTTTAGAGATGGCGAATACAAGATGGGGCTTATTGTTGACAATTGAGCATTGGCTTGGCTCCACTAATTTGAAAGTGATGGTGCAACATGCAACCAGCAATCACGGTTTGCCATGTCCTTATCACACCATCATCAGTAGAACCACATTTTCCACTAATAGTATATATAGTAAGCAATGAACATGTGAAATTAATTCCTGATTTTGTTATATTATTGCTCGGTAGCCAACTTTTATAACTTAGTTTATTGCTCTCATATATAAGTAATTACACATGTTTATTCCATCCGATGGATTTGAAAATTTCCCAGTGCCTTCCAACACCCTCCAACATTCTGGAGTTTTCACTTTTATTGAAAATTTTCGACATTCTTTAAAATTTATTACTTGTATAGTCAGTTAAACCCTAATATAATCGATATTGTGTGTTTAGATTATCTATACTCAATTTAACTAAGAGATTTTATCTTCTATATTTCAATAAAGATATTCTCAACATTTCGAGTGAAGATTCATACTATTCGACTATTCGTACAGAAAATTATTAAGAGATCACACAATAAATAAATAGCCATGAGCAACCAACCCAAAAAAAATCAAATTGTTTGCATTTAGTAGGGGTGAGAACCCATATAATAAGACATAAGATGTTTTCGAATAATATAATATCATTCGATCGTATAAAACATTTTTTGACACAAATAATAAAATTATTATTAAGGTTCGATTAATTGTCTTATGAACAAAACCATTTAAGTCATGATCCCTTCTTCAAAATGGTGCTGCAAACTACATCATTAACTTGCTCATATAATTGAGGCAACATCGGAGCATGAGAATATTATTTCATTAATATATACACAGTGAGCTTATATCTTTGCATCTAATATTCAATTGAGTTGTGGAAACACATTGGAATAATGATAATAATAAAAATAATATATATAGCTCAAGTCTTATTAAATCAACTTATATATTACTTTGCGTTTTATTTATTGCCTAGTCAATATTGGCATACTTTGTGGGTTCCTTTAAGAGTTTTAAAATGCTTTTGGAGTTGTTCAGAAGAGAAGAGAAAGAGATTAGATTGGAGGAGTGGGACACCTTTTGATCCCCAATCAGAGCAGGGAGGGGATAAAATGAATTGAAACCAGCTGAATTCAATCAATCAATCAATCAACCCGCCCACCCACTTTGCCACCATTACCCATTTTTATTCCACATCTTAAGCATCTTCAAAATGCTTCGTGACAACTAATATAAAATCAAACTCGTTTTATCTTCTCCCTAAATTATACTTTTATTTATCTATATGCACCATGATTATTTTATTCATACAAGAGGCCTTAAAATTTTCAGAATGTTAAGACACGTGTGTAAAAAATACCTCATTTTATTATTACTCTAAAATACTTAGTACAATATAGTACCGGATCCAGAAATTGAAGAAATGAATTCCAAAATTTTAATTTTCTTTTCTTAAAAAAATGGGTGTGAAAAATTGTAATTTTTTTCTTTTTTCCTTAACACATTAAACTAAATTTAATCACAATTATAAAATAATGGGGATGCACTTGGTCCCTATGGGGGCTTAGTGCATCCGCCACTGGTACAATATTGTATTTATATAATTCAATTACAACAACTGATTTACTAACTAATCGCTAACTAACTACTAACCAATTGTCAACAACTAACAAACTTTCCAAAACCTACTTCTCAACACTCCCCCTCACGTTGGTAGTCTAAAGATATCCTTGACTCCCAACTTGGAAATTAAATATTCATATTGTTGTGCTCCCAAAGCCTTGGTCAAAACGTTAGCCAATTGATTTGCTGATGAAATATAATATGTGCAGATTACCCCTTCTTGTATTTTCTCTTGAATAAAATGAAAATCTATATCAATATGTTTTGTTCTTTCATGAAATACTGGATTTGATGCAATCTGTCACAATAAAGTCTAGCCGGTTGCAAGGCCTTGACACCCAATTCCATCAACAAACCTCTTAACCATACAATTTCAGCTGCTACCGTTGCCATACTTTTGTACTCTGCCTCTGCTGATGATCTTGCTATGGTATTCTGTTTCTTTAACTTCCAGGAAATTAAAGAATTTCCAAGTTTAACACAGAAACCAATAATTGATTTCCTTGTCATCAAACAAATTGCCCAATCAGCATCACAAAAAGTTGTTAGTTGATATTGTCCTTCAGAAGATAGTAAATTCCCTGAACATGATTCTTTTCTATATACTTAACAACTCAAAGTATTGATTCTAAATGTGATCTTTTGGGTTGCTGCATGAATTGACTTAGATGATGTACCACATAAGTAATATATGGTCTTGTATGAGTAAGATAGATTAATATTCCTATTAACCTCTGGAAGACTTCCTTTTCATTCTGCAACATTTCATCATCTATCTTCTTCTCACCACTTTCTATCAATTTAGAGTCATAATTAGCAGAAGTAAATTTAACATTCTGTTCCATAGGAGTGCAAACATGTTTAGCCCCTCCTATTCATGTTTCTTCAATGAGCTCTAGTGCATACTTCCTTTAGTTTAACAAAATACCTTCACTAGATCTAAGTATTTCAAAACCAAGAAAATACTTAAATTCCCCTAAATCCTTCATTCTGAAATTAGCATGCAAAATTCCTTTCAGTTCATCTACCATTGCAACATCATTCCCAGTAATCAATAAATCATCAACATATATAAGCATGATCACTATGATTGTTCTTTCTCTTTTTGTAAAAAGTGAGTAATCAAACTTACTTTGAATGTATCCAGTAGTAATCAAAGCTTCAGTCAACTTCATGTTATATTGCCTAGAAGCTTGTTTGATGCCATAAATAGACTTTTGCAGTCTACAAACCATGTTCTCCTCTGGCTGCAGAATCTCTGAGGTAACTTCATGTAAACTTCTCAATCAAATTGCCCTGAAGAAAGGCATTGTACACATCCATTTGAAACAAAGACCAATATTGCATAGAAGCTAGGGCTAAGACAGTTCTCACTGTAACAAGTTTAGCAACAGGTGATAAAGTCTCAACATAATCTACACCCTCTCGTTGATTGTAACCTTTCGTAACCAAACGCGCCTTGTAGCGCTCAACCTCGCCATTGGATATAAACTTAACCTTATATACCCATTTGCATCCAATGAAACCTTCACTGGTGGTAAAGGAACCACACACCAAGTATTGTTTGACTCTAATGTTTGAATCTCCTCTTTCATGGCCTTAATCTATAAAGGGTCTTGAATGGCCTCATTATAACTAGTAGGTTCAATGATAGAAGTAGAAGAAAGGAAAGATTGAGCGTGAAAAGGAATATGAGAATAAGAAATGTTATTCGAAATGGGATAAGAGCTAGAGGTGGATGATTGGCAGGAAACATACTCATTTAACCAAAGAGGAGGCTTTGACACCCTAGAAGATCTCCTAACAACTTGATCAACTGGAACAACAACATGAGGAGAAGAACAAGAAATTGATGCAGAAGACACCGAACGAGGATCATTAGAAGAATTAACAGACTGAGACTGCTGAGAAGACAAATCATGATGACCATAAGAAATATATGTTGAAGACAACTTAGGAACAAAAAATTCAGAATCAGGAACAAAAGGTTGAGAAGAAAATAACTTGGATGACAACTCAGGAGAATGAAAAGGAAAATAATTTTCATGAAAACGAACATCCCTACTAACAAAAAATGTCTTAAAAACAAGGCTAAACATCAAATATCCCTTTTGAGTAACAGAGTATCCCATGAAAACTAAAGGAAAAACTCTAGGAAAAAACTTGTCACGAGGTTTAGTATTAGTAGCATAACCCAGGTAACTAAAAACTTTTAAATGAGACAAAGATGGTGGCTGATGATGAAACAATTCATAAGGAGATTTCCAATCAAGAACAACAAAAGGAAGTCGATTAATTATGTAACAAGCAGCTAAGACACACTCTCCATAAAACTTAATAGGTACTTGACACTGAAAACGAAGTGCACGAGTCACTTCCAATAGATGTTTATGCTTCTTTTCAGCTACCCCATTCTGCTGAGGAGTGTCAACACAAGAAGACTGATGAACAACCCCATTCTGTGCTAAAAAACTCAGACCCATTTTCACTATGAATTATTTTAATAGAGGCCTGAAAATGATTAAGAACTAAGGAAAA